AAGAAACAACTTTTCATTGATATATGGAAAGGAGAAAGGTTCAAGGACACAAACTCTCAAAGGAGTGTAAGAAAAAGAGAAAACATTGATACAAACAAAAGAGAATCTCAACAAGGAGCATTACAACCATAGATAATAATAAGGAACAATGTAAACCAAAGACCGCCATAGGAGAAACCACAAATCTTCAAAAACGAATCTTGAAACACCATATGACTTCAAGACCTATTTGGGCGGGAATAATCCAAAGAAGGGGAATCCTCAATAGCATCCTTCAATTCCTTTAAGTAATCTTTAAGTAACTGAATATGTTTCTTGATATGAGAGAGATATAGTTGGATCTTTTCTTCTTGAAGGCTGGCTAACTCTTCATTTAGAGAGGTGATACAGGCATCCAAATATCCAAATGGTATAGAGACATACTAGAAATCATCTTGAGATATTTAACAATGTCATCCTTCTAACAATCCAGAGGAGTAGCCATAGACCAAGCAAAAATGGAGACGAAGACAAATGAGAAGTTCTAAATGCAAGCTTATGTGGTACAAGTAGCCAAAGAAAACCATCGGAAAACAAAAAACCTTTCAACTTCTCAAACACTTCATGACTCTAAGGCTATATCCATGTCTTAAAAGACTCAACATGGCATTCATTAAAATCGAAAGACCTATCGGATTCCTAATAGAAACCCTCTCAAATTGTCCAAAATAAGACATTCAAAAAGTCTTAATGTAAAGAACTCCTTTTAAAGAGAACACGCTGCAACACGAATCTAGCAAGAAGGCAGGATGCAGATGAATACGCATGGATGTTAGGGAGAAGGGTGTCTCTTATCATGTCAATTTTGTTAGTAACACAATGTTAGTACGTGTGCACGGGTGGGAGAGATTTCTTGAGTGGAATAATTTATATAAAGATAAGAGACAGGCTGTTCGGAAGAGCAGGGAACTCTAGCTTTTGAAGAGGCAATACCTCTTCAAAGTATGAGCAATGTATTGAACTCCAGAAACAATTTCATTGATAACGGCAGCTCCACTGCCGAAGCTACTGACTAGTTTCGAACAAAGACATAATGCAAATAAAGCTGAAATTGTTTACCGAGTAGAATAAGATTAACGAACCATTCCAAAAGGTAATCTTCAGCTTCTCTTTCTGAATATCCTTGACATATCGGCCCAGATAACCCACAAGTAACTGTCGAACAAGTCCTTCAAACATTCTCTATGAATTCTCCCTAAAAACACCACAACAAGAAGTAAACCCGTATAATTTCATCTGGGTTTTTTGGGCGGGATTGTCGGGTGAAGAACAAGAACTCTCTCGCTTTCTCTCTCTCTCTCTTTCTCGCCGTCAATCGTACAATGGTTTCCTCTCTCTTCTGGAAAAGTGGGTTCTCACGGAATCGTTCGGCTCAGCGATTCCCTCTCTCTCAATCTCTCTTCTTCCCAGTTCTCTCTCTCTCGCTCTCGCTCAATCTCGCCGGCTCTGTCTCAGCAATTCTGCCGCTATTTCCTTGTGTCCGTCTCTGGTTTCTCTGGTCACTTTGTCTTTTTCATCTCCACCTCAATGGGACAAAATTAGGGATATTGAAATTGAGACTCGAGAGTCTTTTCATATTCATATTTCATGTGCCAAATAAAGGTCATAAAATATGTTTCCTTTCTTTTTTTCTTTTGGCTTTCCAACTTTTTTTTTCTTTTTTATTTTTTCTTTTTTTATTTTTTTTCAAATAAAGAAATCATTTTTTATTGCTCACTTTTAAAAAAAATAAATAAATAATATATATATATATATTCATATAGTCTAAACTTGCCCATATCCATTGCAATTCTTTTCCCTTGTCTTGCATTTATCTCTATTACATTTCTTTGGTAACGTTTCTGTTTCTGTTTTCAATTTTTTTAAGAAATCCAAACATTTTACAATAAATATGTTTATTGTTTCTGTTTTTTTTAAAACATTCTCCAAATTAGGGGTGTTTAAAAAACCCGACAACTCGATGAACCCGACGAACTCAACCCAACCGGTTGGGTTGGGTTGGGTTGGAATAAACCTTGGGTTGGGTTGGGTTGAAAAATTATCAACCCGACCGGGTTGGGTCGGGTCTCGGGTTAAGCCTTAAAATTTTCGGGTTGACCCGACCCAACCCGATAATAAAATATGTTTATTGTTTCTGTTTTTTTTAAAACAT